TCTGGGTTCCAACCCATTTATTACTAAAACATGTGTTTACTAAGTCCTTTTTGGACCTCTCTGTTATGTACTCCTGGACTCAACCAAGCCAAATCTAGATTTAATTGAAAACAGTATAGAAACTATATTAATTCCAAATGTACTCTCCAGTCCATGTACAATGAGGGAAGCACCTTAATCTTTCATAGACAGTTTTGATAGAGATGTAAAGCTCTCTATAGCTATTTTCTTTCTTTCTTTTTTTTTTTCTTTTTCTTTAGACAGAGTCTCACTCTTTCACCTGGGCTGGAGTGCAGTGGTGTCATCATAGCTCGCTGCAACCTCAAACTCCTAGGCTTAAGCCATCCTCCTACCTTTGCCTCCTGAGTAGTAGCTGGGACTTACAGGTGCATGTCACCACGCCCGGCTAATTTTTAAACTTTTTGTAGAGACAGGGTCTCACTGTGTTGTCCAGGCTGGTCTTGAACTCCTGGGCTCAGATGATCCTCCCACCTCAGCCTCCCAAAGTGCGAGGAGTACAGACGTGAGCCACCGCACCCTGCCATCACATAGCTGTTTTCTTGACTCAACCCTTTAAAGTGCCCTGTCACATCAAAGTTGAAGCTCAATGCCGCTGTCGGAATCCCATTCCATTTTGTTTGGGATCTGCCATTCCCATCTTCTTTCTTTCCTCAGCACTGAGGTGGCTATGAGGAGCTAAGGCTGTTCCTCAACTAGCCTTTTTTAGGAGACAAGCCATTTGGTAAAAAAAAAAAAAAAAAAAACGAAAACAAGGATGTGAATATATCCTAGTTTGGGCATTTGTCTCAGCGGTTTCCCATCTCCCTCAGAATGAAAGCCAGCATCCCTAAAAGGGCCCAAAATGCTGATCACCTTGACCCCACTCACTTCTGCCCCTCCCTCACTTCCCCTCAGTTTCACTAATGTCTTTGCTGTTCTTCAAACACATCAAGCAAACCCCTGATGCACCTCACACTTGGCTGTTCATGCTATAATACATAGACACTTGTTCCCTAGGTATCCAATGGCACCTCCTTCAAAGTAAGTCACCTTCTCAGGAAGAGCCCCCTGACCTCTCTTAAAATTGCAACCTTCTCCTTAGCCTCCCTATTTCTGTCCCCCTCCTTTGCTGTGTTTTTCTCCATAAATACTCACCACCTTCTAATGTAGCGCTTACTTTGTTTTCTAAAGAGCTTTCCAGGTGATTCTCCTCTGTAGCTAGCATTGTGAACGTTTGCCGTAGATGTTGCTTCACTGGGTGTTAGTTTTGCGAGTTCTAGTGGAGGCAGAATTTTAAATATCAAGAATA